ATTTGCTTAAACATTAAATTAGAGATATAAAAAAAAAAATCATATATATATATATATTTATATAATATTTTCAATAATTATAATAAATTGTTTGTTTCGTAGAGACACAGAGCATAAAACATGGTTGGCTTGTCAGTGCAGTCAAAAAAATAATAATAAAAAAAATAATATGTTAAAAAATAAATGTTATTAAATGTATAATTCAAAAAAAAAAAAAAAAAACAAGCTAGACATTTTCAATTTTCGTGGTCGCAATGTTTGTGGCTGGCGGCAAAACCTTTCAGAATTCTTCTACTTTTTAGTTTGATTGGAATGTTTCACTCTCACTTTCGACGCGGCTGTCGCCTGTGCGCATTCTGGCGGCCCCTTAAATTTAGTACAAAAAATAAGGAGTTTCTATTTAATATATTTATAATATATTTAACCTTCGCCCAGCCAATCAAAAAGTACCCTTAAAAAACGCTGCAAAAGCGATTTTTTTTTGTTTTTGCTTTCTTCTTATTTAGCTTTGCTTTTAATTGTTGCTTTTTTGTTGTTGTATTTTTTTGTTTGTTTTTTTTTTTTGGTTACGTTTAAATATTAATTAATTATTAAGTAGTTGTTGTTTATAATTTTGTTTCTAAAAGGCCGAAAATCACAATTTTGGTTTTGTTTTGTTCCTAAACGTTAAATTTTGTTTGCTCTCCTTTTTTTTTGTTTTTGTTATAATATTGTTGATAATATTGTTATTATTATTTTATATGTTAATGTTCATGTTTAAATTGTTATTTATGTATTTATTTTTATTTGGGCAAAACTTTTGTTTTTGCACAAATTCTGCACATCACAATATCGAATTGATGCCTGTTGGGTTTCCATTTTGTTTACTTTTGTTTTTTTATTATTTGTTTTCTTACATTTTCTTTATTTTCCCCCTGTTCCCCCCATCACGTGTCTTGTTTTTCTCTAATACTGCGCTCCCTGCGAGATAATAAGCCAACAACAAAATCTTATGGCGCCATCTTTTGTTTGTTTTTAGCGTTTTTCAAATGCAAAGCGAATATTTTTTTGTTGAGTTTCGTTTCTTCTTCTTCTCTCAATGTTTTCAATACGTATTCACGTATTTGTTTTTTTGTTTTTTGTTTTGTTTTGTTTTTTTAATGCTATCACAGCCAAATTGTTTAATCCAAAGTTTTTGTTTCCTTTTCTCTACGTTTTTTGTTTTTTGTTTCTTTTTTTTTGTTGGTATTTTTCTCTTTTTTTTTTTTGGTTTGCCGAAAAAGTCTTGTTTTGCGTTTTTTTTGTTTGTTTTAAAATTTAGAATTTTGAATTTTGCCTAGCGTGCGTGTCTTGCGTTATTATTAATTGATTTCAATTTGTTAATGCGCGCATTTTGTTGTTGCCTCTTGTTTTTTTTTTATTTGCTCTCACCGCCAGCAAAGATCGACAACTGTATCGATCCCAAAATGCGCACGGCCGCCCAGAAGTTAACCGCTTTATATACGTACATAGATATATATATATATATGTGTATATATATATATATATAGGTATGTGTATATGTATGTGTATAGTCTGGCCAGAGTTTGCACCCAATACGCTTTGTGTACCCGTTTACTTTTATAGTATAATTTACTTTTGTTATAATTTTGAGATCGATTTGTATTGGTATTTGTATTTGTTTCTGTTTATGTTTTTGCTTTCGCTGTACACTCGCGCTGGGCTCTATATAACATCTGGTTGAAATGTGCAGAAAGGTAATGCGATTCGCTTGGGAATTGCCAGTTGTTGTTGTTCTTGTTGTTGCACACCGATATTGCGACCACGTTGCCCAAACGGCATTATATTCGTATTCATAGCAATCGGGATATATATGATATATATATATATATATATATATATATATATATATATATGCATTTATGTATGTAAACATAATAACACAAAATTTTGCTTAAGAACTATCAAATTTTTCATTTTAGCAAATGTTTAGCCAAAGTTTTTAAATAGCGAAATTTACAGAAAAATTAAAAAAAAATATATATATAACTCTTTGTCTATTGTTTTATAATGTGTTTATATTGTTGCTGTTATTGTTTCTTTGTTTGTTTGGTCAAAGCAAAGTAAACTGAGTGAAAAAGCTGCAAACATTTGTCGACACTTTCGATTCATGTGTGCGCCCCCAAAAAGTAGGCAACAAAATTTTGCATTCATAGCGAACGTAGCTACTTTGGGTTTTACAGTGTGTTTGTTGGTGTGTGTGTGTGTGTATGTTCGTGTGTGTGTGTGTGTGTAAAGCTTGTATGTCTGCCAAAAGATAAACCTAGCAAAGCCTTTTAAAATTTGAAAAGTAAATAGAACAAAGTTCAAGGCAAAGAATTTTGATTCATGTTGATTAATACAAGATACTATCAATAGGCCCTACCATATCGCTGCTATAGCTTGAGCATTTGATTAGTTACCAATTAGTTAAAGCAGATACTATTTCTGATGCTGGAGATATCTTGCACCGTGCTTTAGCTGTCAAACAATCATGATATCAACCATTTCTAGTAATTTCTGGCCAGTTGCAGAAGCCTACAAATAAACGAATTTTTCCCTTTTTCTCATATCAACTTTTCAAAGGCATATTCTACAACGCAGTCTGGCGAATTGTGTTTCCAGCTATAAATCAATTGCTATGAAAAACGAGCAAGGGGGGGGGGGGGTCTGGTGAGGGCGGGAGATCAATAATTGCATATGTGTGTGTATATATAACAATATGCAATTAATTAAAACTGAGAATTTGGAATTGAACCAATGTTGAAATTGAAATTTTATGCCCAGGTGCTACGATGCGTGCCTTTATTTTTGGGTTTTTTTCTTCAATAGATTTTCGATTAGTTTAATATTAATAAAGACATATGTATGTACAATATGTGTGTGTATATATTTTATATATATATATAAGTATATATATATATATATATTTATATATATTTAAGATCACAGATATTCTATGTAATTCTGCTGCTTTGCATAATTCACGCGTATGTCTGTATTCCATGATTTAAATTTCAAATATTCCTCTTCCGAGTGTGCCTTACATTTGATGTATTCATTTTTTTACTGCTGCAAGTAGTATCCAAGGATTTTTAGTATCCATATACGTTTATGTAAATATTGTATATAGATATATGGTATGTATATATACATATATATATATATGTATATATATATATGCACTGTATATTGGGTTGTGGGTGTATATGTGGCTAAAAATTTATTACGTTTGTCTTATATACAAGCACATACACGAGCATATGCATGTGGCTGTGTGTGTGCGTGAGTAAATTTCGATATTTAGTTCAATATTTATGCAGGTTGGTAATTGTCAAGCACGTGGCGCCACCTGTTGTTAGAGAGGATAGAAACAATTTCTATACACGAAATTGTTTGACAATTCTTGGCATTGGGCTTAGACAATGCTGAGAAGCCATTAAAAAGTTGTGTGTGTGTGTGTGCGTGTGTGTGTAGGTGTGTAGATATGTATGTGGTATACGCTCAAGTTGCTTTTATGTCTAATTCAAGCCAGGGAAACTCTGTATGAATAAATACGCACAAAAGTATGCTGCAATTTTTTGTTAACAGTTCACTTTGCTTTGCTCTGCTCTGCTTTGCTAATATGTATAGGTATGTAGATCTTTAACTTGTTAAACTAATTTTACTTGTTATTATTATCAACTCGCTAATATCGCCATTATCAACTCCATCATCATCATCATCATCATCATCATCATCATCATTATGTTGATCATGATACTCAACATCATCATTATTACTTAAAAAGTTACATCACGTGTTCACTGTTCTTTTTCTATATCAATTACTATCGTACGCATATATATCATTATAATTTAGTATAATTTTTTACTTTTGTTTTTTTTTTTCATTTTTTGTTGTTGTTTACTTTCTTTTATGTATATATGTCTTACGTTCTCTTATAGATGTATATATATATACTTTTGAAAATACAAATATATATATATATATATATATTTGCGCACATATATATATACATATATATGTATATTATGTTTATCAATTTTAATTAGATTCCTGCTACAACATGCACGCTGCACTTGTTCTTTACTAAAATATTGTATAGAAAAAAAATATGATCAACGCTTAAACTTTTTCTTGGTTTTTTTTTCTTTCGCACTAAATTAGAATTACGACATATTTTTCTTTTTTCTTTATGCTTTTCTTCACTTTTTTTTCTTTAATATTCAGTTTGTTAATGGAGACATAAAATAAGTTTGTGTGTGTGTGCTCGTGTGTTGTTGTGTGTGTTGGTGTGATTTTGCATTAAAAAAAATATTATCGCTCTTGGTATAAATTTCAACAATTCGACATATGCTGCTATATATATCGTATGTGTATATATATATATGTAGATATATATGTATATATGTATATACATATACATATTTATTATTAATGCATATGCATTATGCATGCTTGCGATCTCTTTATCTATCTCCCTCTTGCCTACAATATGTATGTGTGCTTGTGTGGCCGTCTCTTTCCTACGCGCTACGCTTCAGTAAAAGGGAGCAAATTCTATTTGCCAGTTATTTTTTGTTGTTTTTGCTGTTTTCTCTTTGTTTGCCTCGTTTTTAGTTTTAGTTTATATATAAGTAATAAAATATGTACATATTTTTATATACACATATGTGTATGTATATATGCAAGGGTGTTCGTGTGTTCTGTGTGTGTGTGTGTGTGTCTGTGTGTGTCTCTAAGCTTTGCGCTCTTCGCTTAAGTAAGTCAAAAATTGTTGCTGTTGCTATCTCATTCTTGCTGCTTTGCTGCCGCTTTAACTGCTGCTGCTGCTGCTGATGTTGCTGTTGTTAATATTGTTGTCTCGCTCTTTTCAATTGTAGTTGTAATTGTTGTTATTATGCAAATAGTTTGCATTGTTGTTGTTGTTGTTGTTGCTGCTGTTGTTGTTGCTGATATTGTTGTTGTTGTTGTTATTGTTGTTATTATTATAATAGTAGTAGTAATAATAATAATAATTTAATAACAAACTAAAATCGTTTCACTATTGCGGTAGTTCATCCTTTGTATCGACCGGGCTGGGTGACAAAAACTTTCGTACATATTTGGGAAAATGCGTTTTCTCATGCGCTTTGAGGATCGTCGAGCGCGAGAAAGTTTTCCCGCACATTTGACATCTGAAGGGTCGTTCACCTGCAATTCCCACACAAAACGAGCAAATTTTGTTGTTGTTTGTTTTGTTTTTTGCGGGGCCACAAAAGGAAGTACAATATGTCAGATAAAGGATAAATATCAAGGGCTAGTCATATAAATGCAGTGTATGTGCGAGTGTGTGTGTGTGTGTGTGTGTGTGTGTAATGGAGTAAATGTGAACTTTGAGGCAACACTGATGTCCGGAAAGCTCAAATGCTTTCGGCTTAAGTGAATTGTGGAATAGCTCTTAAAGTTGTGGTCTTCCTACAAATATTTACAAAGGAATCTTCGAATGCTTGAAAAGCTACAAATGGAGTTGAAGGTGAGAAGCTTTTCCATTTAGATAAAACAGCTCATGAAGAGCTTAGCAAAAAGCCTAACTCAGTGTAAAGCTCAAATGAGCTTTAAGCTTAATAGAAAAACTGTTTAGTTAGGTTACGCTTTTATGGCTAGATTAACCACAATCTTACAGCCATAAGGTAGTCACAAGCTCATTAAGAGCTTTAATCGAGCTTTCATAAGCTTCGACATCTCAGCTTAGAAAGCCATAGAGCTGAATGTTTAAGCGAGAGTTGATTGGTAAACCGAAAAAAAGTTGAACAAAGGGGAAATAGGGCCACCTGAAAAGCGTTTAAAGAGCTTAAAGCGTTAACAATGAAATGAAATATGTAATGTCAGTGTGATAAATGTGTATATATATATATATATATATATATGTATATATATATGTGTATGCAGATATAAATTGATCTCACTTATGGATCGTTGCTGGAGACTTACCCGTGTGCACGCGACAATGATCTTTCATGTGGTGGCGCAGCTTAAACGCTTTGCCACAAAACTCACATTTAAATGGTCGATCACCTGTATGTACCGACAAATGCGTGATCAGTGATGTAACATCGGGAAAACTTTTAGCACAGAACTTACACATGACAACACTATTCGGATCACTTGACGCGCCGAGCAACGAGGCGGCCGACGAGCCGCACTGCGCCGCTGCCGACGCTGCGGCAGACGTTGAGGGCGACGAGGAGCGTCCGCCGCCGCTGCCACCACCACCGCCACCACTACCGCCCATGCCGCCGCCACTGCCACCGCAGCCACTGCCACCGGCAGCGGCAGAGCTAGAGCCGCTGCCCAGCAGAAGGCCAGCGGATGTGGCCGCAATGCCACCATTTCCGGATGTCGATGAGCCGCCCAATCCGAGGCGTCCGCTGGCACCGCTTGAGCCGGGCGCCCCACTGACGGCGGCTGCCTCCAGGCAGCTGGCCGTCAAGCTTTGTATGGTGCAGCTGACGCCGTGCAGGGCTATCTCCATTTCTATGCCCAAGGCGGCGGCCACAGCGGCCGCCTGCTCCTGCGGATCGCTGCTGCCGGCGCTGGCCGCCATCGCGGCCTGGAACGCAAACGGCTGCGACAGATGGCTCATGTTGAGGTCGTGCGCCGTCCGCAGTTGCGAGTGGAGGAGGGCGGCGTGCGAGGTGGGCTCGCGGTACTCGAGCGTCTTCAGCGAGTGCGAGAGCACGTGACGCGTGAGTTTGCTTTGGTTGGGGAAGGCGGCGCCGCAGTAGATGCACGGCAACAGGTTCAGCGGCGGCGGTGGCGACGTTTGCGGCTGCTGCTCATGGGCAGCGGCTGCGGCGGCAACGGCTGCGGCTGCGGCGGCGGCTGCGCTGCTGCTGCTGCTGCTGCTCATGCCGCCGCCGAGGACCGCGCCAACGCCCACAGCGTGTTGTTGGGGCGATTCGGACGTTTCCTGGAACAAACACCAAACAAAAATCCAACATCAACTTCTTTACTACGTCTCGTTTTTTGTTTTGTTTTGTATTTTGCAATTTTTGGTATTTTTTTTAGTTTTGGTATTTTCAGTTTCAGTTTTTGCTTGCAGTCGATCGATCGATAATTTTTGCTTATCTCTCTGCTTGTTATCGATATGAGTGCCATTTTTTTTTTTTTTTTGTTTTTTTTTTTGTTATTGCTTAAATCGCTTCTCATTCATTTTTTTTGCTTTTCTTCGTTTTCTTTGTCTTTACAACTAGATTTTCTCTATTTTTACTGCATTTTTGTTTACCTCATTTAGGAAATCAACAAAAAAATTAATGTAAGAAAAAAAATGAAACAAAATTTGTTTACATAACTTTCTGTTGTTGTACTTTTACTTTTAGAGACAGCGAAAAGGAGAGACATAAAGATATGCTATATATAAATATATATATATAGTTAAATATATATACATATATATCTACATATGTATATATATATATACATATATATTTATAAGTATATATATATATACATATATATTTATAAGTATATATATGGATAGAGAGGTTTAGATGGAGAAAGAAACAGAGAGAGAGAGAGAGAGAGAGAGAGAAATATATATATTTATATAGTGGAAGGAGCTTCAAAATAATTGCAACGAAAGTGAAAAGAATCTGAATCAGAACCATATAATAGAAAAAACAATACGATTTTTCGCTGACTGAAGCCTGCAAAAAACATATTTCAACTGAATATCAAAGAAGTTACGTTTACAGTTAGAAAAACAAATTAGCTGTAATTTTAAGTCTGCCTCTTCTCGCTTTCAATAAGTTACAATCTGTATACTCTATATATATATATATATATTTATTTTAATTTAAGTATACGAAAGAAAAAGAAAAAGTTATTTATATATATATATATATATATATATATAGATATACGTGTATATATATATAAATATATATATATATATATATGGCAAGAAAGAGATAGATAGAAAAAACAAAAAATCATTACAAAGTTTTAATTTGTTTTATTTTTATTTCATTTTTAATACTTTTTTTCTTTTTGCAATGAAACAATTCGAAATAGGAAAACAAATTAGAGAGAAAAAAAAAGTAAATGATATATCTGAATATTATTATAGAAGTGGAAGAGTGGAAACTAACTGCAAAAGCCAAAATGGCCGCCAGGACTCAGCTGGCGACGCTCTCTCTTAGCTCTGCGCTTCTGCTATCTTATTTCAAGTTCAAGCACGGAACTCTTAACTTTACTTTACTTTTGTTTATTATTAATTTTCAACTTGGCAGCTGCTGCCAGTAAAAACAAGAGGGGGGTTTCAGCATGTCTTTCGTTGTGTATTTGTTTTTTATTATCTATAACTGCTTTTTTTTTCTTAATTTTTCATAAATATATATTGATCTCTTTTTGTTTTTTTTTTTCTTTTTTTATTGTAAGTTAGTTGCATTTCTGAAATTTCGATACAAAAGTTTCGATATATATAAGATATATGCAGGTATATATATATATATTTCTGTTTTTGTTTTTCAAGAAGTTGAATTTCGATTTTTGTTTGGGCGTTGTTCGAAAAACGTCGCATAATCGTACGTTAGTATTGAGATTTTTGTTTTTGTATTTTATTTGATTTTGCTTTTCATTATTTGTTTGGTTTGTTTTATTTCATTGTTTTATTTTGGTTTTTGTTTTACATATTTTTTGTGTTTGCCTTTTTTTTTTTCGTGAGTTTTGGTTTTTTGTAACATAAATTTTTTGGTTTCGGTTCAAACTTATTGTAAAAAATGTGTTTAACTTAAGTTTCACGCTCTGCATTTTGCACGACTTGCAAAAGAATTTTGTTAAGTTTCGGATGCGCGATTTCAGTAATTGTTTAATTTTAAGATTATTTCAATTTAAGGTTTTACTCGAACGAATTCTTTGACAGAAAGCGAACAAAATTTTGATTTGGCAAAAAAAAAATTCGAAAAAACAAAACGAAAATATTTTCAACAATTTTCATGAAAAAAGAAGTTTTTTTTTCTTTAAACGTACTTTTGCCTACTTCTTCTTTGCTTTTTAACTTTTGCTCAAAACCAAAAAAGAAATAAAACAAACAACAACAACAAAAAAATAATTGATAAGAATGAAAAACTTGTTTGTTTTGCCAATTTTTGCGTCAAAATTTTGTTGTTCAGAAATTTGGTTTATTTAAAAATAATATGATAAAAATGCTTAAAAGAAATTTTGAAAAAATCAAAAACAGTTTCGTGACTGCCGCCGCTTTCAAAATATTCAAATTTATCCAAAAACAAATATTAAAAAAATAGAATAGAATAGAATAAAATAAAATAAAATAAACATACAACATTTTGGAAACAATAGAAAACAAACTCAGCAGCTCCGAAGCTTTTGTTGGGCCAAATCGTGTTCTTTTTTTTTAAGATCGAATGAATATTTTTTAAGTTGAAAAAAAAAAACCATAAAATAATTGAAATTCAAAAAGTATTTTCAAGAAGTTTTTCCTTTTTTGCCTGCGGAAGATGGGAACTCGAATTAAGTTTCAATGTCCTTTCATATACAGTGTGTAGCTTGCCAGTTGAGAGCACTTGGGATTCCCATGGATTTCTCGATACATCCAATACAGGAAATCTTAACAAGAAACAACGCATGAGATTTCGTTTAGTACAGCCATTTTCAAAAAACCGAAGATCAACTTCTTGACAATATTATAAACAAAAACAAAAAACAATTTAAAAAACAAAATTAACGAACAAAACAAAAACGTTACCCAACAATATGCAAGTAAAATCAATCAAACTGATTTAAATACAACGTAAAACAAAGGGAAATGAATCAGAAATATGCCGCAATTAACTTGAAGAGTTGCCAACTGTGTGCAAATTAAAGAAGCCAACAGACAAGCGGGAAATCAAAGTACAGTTACAGAAAGAACTCTTTGGTCAGCGTTTACAGGACCTGGCTGGGGAAATATATTGACAAAACAATTGTCCGGGCATTGCGCACACTCAACACACCTTAAACATGTTGCAGGGATTCAGGCAAGTCACACGTGACAGCTGGCAGCGCCTGTGCACATCTCTAATGAAAGCTGGCAACGCCTACGTTTCGCTGTTAACTGTTGGCAATGCCATACGCTCTTACGTTCTCAACGAAGGTCGACACAGATTAATACAAAAGTATTTGGATTTTATTTTTAAATAGATTAATTAAATTGGTTAGACACATACATAAACCAATACATACACACGTTTATATATTATACACAAATAATATATATTCATATGTACACATGTATGTCTATATATATGCACACTGTTATATACCTAGAGTAATAGACAGAGCTGTAAACTTATACATATACATAATATGCCATATAAACACGTTATAGTAATGGGTTTAGTTTAGAATAGTTGTAAACACAGCTGTTCACATTGGTTCACTCGTTTGAATTTCTTATTGAATTTGAATTTGAAGCTTAGTTTTAAATACCTTTAGAGTACAACAACAATAAATGATATGGTACAAAGGCATTTATTATGTATATATACGAGTATATTATATATTTTTAAAACAGACAGAGCGAGTTAGTTAGTTGTTAAAAAGAATTAGACAAATAGACAGAGAGAGAGAGAGAGAGAGAGAGACAGACAGTTAGAAAAAAAAAAGAAAAAGACAGATAGATAGATAGGTAGATAGACAGATAGACAGATAGACAGATAGAGAGAGAGAGAGATAGAGAATTTATGAAAAGAACAAAACGAAAATAAACAACGTTCTTGAACAACATCGAGGTACAAAACATCAACAGGTAAAATACAACAAACACGCACACACACACACACGCTCAAAATGACTTACACACAAAGAAACCAAGAGATATAAATGGAAATAAATTTTAAGTTTGGCAAATTCCCTGGCAAAAAAAGGAAATTGAAGGAGGCTGAGTGCAAAGCAGGAGAACTAAAAATGTTAACCAAATGTTTAACGAGAAACGAATGTCTTTGCAGCTTATGCATATTTTTTATGCATAACTATCAACTCTTTAGTAAATAGTTCTTTTCAGTTTCCTTACAATTTTCTAAGGTTTCATTAACTATAATATTAATAATTGAAATATTTAACGCTTAGCTAGCTTCTTCGCGTTACTTAAGAACGAGTATTTCCTGTTATTTGGTAGTAAACTTCTGGCTTCTGGACGAGAGGGTATTTAATCTACACATTGTTCTAGTTCAATGGTTATGGTTGCCCGTTGCTTAATGCACTGCTCGTCGTTACTCGTTGTTTGTGAATTATTACTGATACTCGCTAACTTGTATAGTGTTTCTAGCTCAGTCGCATCACTCGTTACTTTACTTTTTCTAGTTAAATCACATCACTCGTTACAAAACTATTTCTAGCGAAGTTTCATCACTCGTTCTTTTACTTTTGCTAGCTCAGTCACTTTACGTGCTTCTTCCTTTGTGGATATTAGCTGCGTCTCGTCACATGTTGCTTTTCTAACTGTTCTTACGTGAGTCTCTTTCGTTGCTTTATTATTTCCATCTGGGTCACTGCCCTCGTTACTTTCTATACTGTTTTGACCTCAGTCTCGTCACCCGTTACATTAGTCTTTCTTACTCGCTCCCTTCGTCACTGTTTTGAGCTGAGTCTCTTCACTCGCTACTTTAATCTTTCTATCTCAGTCACGTTAAACGCAACCTTCTTCACGGATTAAGCATAGTCTCTTCACTCTTTACTTTATTATTTCTAGGTAAGTCTCGTCACTCGCTTTTTTTCATGGGTTTGAGCTGCGTCGCGTCATTAATTAATTTCTTCACGAACTGTGCAAACTCACGTCACTCTTTATGTTTTTAACTGTTCTTAGGTGAGGTTTGACTTTCGTTACTTTACTATTTCTAGCTAAGTCACTTAACTCGTTTCTTTCTTTACTGTTTTGAGCTGATTCTCGTCACTCGTTACTTTACTATTTCT